AAACGACTTCTCAATCGGAAACGCAGGAGCTGGATTATGGAGGCATTGCCGGTGCCACAGCGAGCCGCAACAGGTGACGGCACGACACGCTGGCCTGTCAGGAGCCTGCACCCACGTGACGCACGGCACCACAGATCGTCCCAGTAAGCTGCCACGATCCCATTGGGCTTGCTAACCGAGGGTAGGTAGCCTTGGTGTTTCATGAAAGCTGCGAAGCATTGTAACCACAACTAGGAAAACAAGTTCAGAAAACCAGATTCCAGATTTCTACATAGGCATAACCAGAGAGCCCCAGTAATCCCTGCCGGGCTCAAAAGTGCTCGAGTCGGGTGAGATTGCCACCAAACCGTTGGAGGATACCTGCACGTCCTGCAGGCACACGGGGCTATGCGGCAACGGGACTTCCCCGCGGGCCTTCTCTACTTTCAACTTCCAGGACGCATGTGCCACGACCACGAGCTTCACTCGCACCTGTCCTGTGCGAGTTCACCGTAGAAGGACGTCACAAATGGCAGGGTCAATGGCGCGGCATTGTCATCCATGTCCTTCGGGACATGGACGCTGCAATTCGTCTGCAAGACATGACAGAACTGCTTGCACGATCCCGCGAAGCTCTACCACCACTTCCACCGCCGCAGTCACCGTCTTCGTTTCCATCATCAGCAGCAGCAGCTGCGGCAAAACTCTGTGTCATGGTCATCACTACGGTAACAAGTAGCAAGCCACTTCACGATGAAGAGCAGAGGCTATACACTGTAGACTGGATCATGATCGGCCGGAGGCACCGAAGCATCCTAAAAATGCAGGGTCCAAGTCCTTTCCCTGGAAGCTCGGCACTTCATGAAGCACGGCGTTGGACGTCCACGTGCTGGCCGGCACTGGTGGAAGCGGTGCGATATCGGTGCCTGGCGTGCAGTCACGTTCGTGGCTTTGGTCTTACAGCGTGCAGTGCAGCATCGAATCGAAGCTCGGAGCTGTGGAATAGCCCGAATCCCCTCAGCTGCTCAATGTCAAATCTTTCTGCTCTGCTCATACACCCAGTGTTGAGCAACGTTGACTGGAAATCCGAAAGACGGGACGAGGCTCCCCTGCCGTCATCTGTCTTCCGACTGTAGACCGTAGATCTTCTCTGTCAACTGTGGAAAACCCTTATCAACCGAGCAGAAAACCCCAACGGCCGAAGCTAATCTCCCCCTTGACGCCACCTCCGCTGTTGTTGGTAACTCCAGTGTAGACCGCCGAGTAAAAGCCGTGCTCATCGAAATTCCTTTCAAAACATCGCATTTCTGGGCAATGAACCAGGGAATGAGCGCCTAGTGCATGCAAGCGGTTCTGAAACTCAAAGCGGGTCCCCAACCCAACCCAGTCTTTTTCAGTAACCCATGGCTTCGGAGGGAAAACAACTCGAATGCTAATCCAAGGCTTGATCCGTGACGAAAGGGCACGAATAACCCTGCATTGGCAAGTTGTCGAGCTTTTCCGGTGAATGTCACGCGAGGAGCCGGCTTCGAAACGGGATGTGCGAACATCAAGCTGCTGCCTTGAGTATAGAAGCCTGAATCCCGTTCTGTACTTTTGAGGCCACTGAAAGCCTCTATATCAATCTTGCCGCCCAGTGTCAACATGTTGACCTCCACCCTCCACTGGAGCGGCCCGCCACCCAGATTCTGGATACCTGCACACAGGGACTTACGGCTTTTGGTTTTGATAAGGAACAGGGCGGTACATACCCCACGTTTATGGGAAGCCTTTCGTGTTGCATAAGGCTGTATGTTCTAAGTCGGAGCGCTTCCAGCGGGACCCCAGTCGGGATGCGTCCGTGCACAGTCCATGTGACCGCATTCCTGCCTTGTATGACAATAAATCCAAGATCTCTTCAATATACGCCCAAACCCCACAAATCCCCAAGTCCGAAATATGACAATAATTCCAAGATCTCTTCAATAAAAGCCGCCCTACACCCCCCAAATCCCCAAGTCCGAAAATCTCCCTAAAGCCCTTAAGTCCCAGACGAGGCCTAGACTTCCCGAGGCCCGCGGGGAGCCGATCTGGGGTAGATGCGTGTGCAGCACCACGGGACGCCTGAAGTCAGGGTGCCTTTTGAAATTTTTTCCCTCCTACCTAGCAAGGACAAAGCCCGCATTGCAGAGTGGTGCTTTTTGATGGTTTTGGAGCTTTCATGGTTATTGTTTCGACGCTGTCTAGACTAGGGTAAAGGTTTGAAAGTACGCTAATGACATATAAGGGTACAGGGTGGTTAAGAAACAGTGCCAACAGTCATAGAGACATGGATCATGATTAGGGTAGCAATCGCCACCGTAATCATCATCATCATCATCATCATCATCATCCACCAGTTAGGGCCCAGTAACAAAGACGAAGCCTGCCTTGGTTCTTGACTATTGGCGTCACTTACTTTCTGAACTCCCGTAGTGGAGCTGCTAGAAAGCACAACAGGTGTCAAGGGTTTTGAGGTCGGGGCTTGGTTGGGAGATCCTTTAAACTTGCGAGAACAGGGACTTGCTCACCAAACTATGACAAACTATGTGTGAATGCTTTCCATGATCTAACACTGTTCGGGAAGTCAGGCGGGTTCTCATATTACTTTGCAGAACCATCCTCACTTTCAGAATGCTGCTTCACCCTTTGCTGTGTATACACTTTCGACTCGATCCTGCAACTGGCTCTACACTCCTGGGCAGGCTCGACACACACTCGCAGCGGATTAGTGTACCTATCTTGGATGCAGAAAATCCACCGGAGATGCTCCCCACTGTTTACGCGCATTGAGGTCTAGATTCGCATGGCTTTCCAAAGCCACTTCCCGGACTCGTCCGAACCAGATTCACCTCCCAAATCCGTCGAATTAGGGACGCCAGAAACTTCACCGCACTTTGCACGCTGCAGGTTATTGCATGAAGTTACTCCGACCCTGCCCGAAAACTTTGAACCCCGGTACCATATTTCGGGGCACGAGCTGTAATAGTAGTCATATATAAAATACTACACCATACTGTAACAAAATGATTTTTGCATGATAGAACAGAGTAACATGATAACTGTAGGACCTATATCCGGGCCCCTGATTGCTGAAGCTCTCAGTTGTGGCAGAGTGCCGGATGAGCGCCACCAGAAGATCCTCCCCCGACCTCGCTGGGAGAATCGCCCAAAGGCCTTAACCTGCACTACGTTAGGGTTTATACTCTCGCAACTCGGGCAAGCCAGACGAGGTCCATGCGTTCGGGTTGGCAACTCTTGATGCATCCAGTACGCTAGGGTTTAGGGTGAAATTCTGCACTAATTACCGGGGTAAAAGCCTCACGAGTTATTTTGGCTATGGTCTAAAGCTGAAGGTCGAGGGCTTGGGGCTTGGGGGCTTTATCCAAGGGCTGCATCACCGCTGGTGAACATAGAGTCAGGAAGAGGGCCAACAGATTTAGCCGATATAGTACTATCACAGCGACGGTTACGAGTAGCTGCATCTACTTAATGCTGCTACCTACGATTCCTGCGGTCCTTGCTATTTCGATGATTTGCTTCAGGACGCAGGTCTGCCATGATTAGCAGTCAGAGCCCGATTCTCTTGCTGGCTGCTGTAATCCCCCGCCTGGAGCACGAAGCCGCTGCACTCGTGGCAGTAACCCTCTAGACACTACACCCTAGGCCCTAGGCCCTAACACCACAACAAAGCATGAGACGCGGGCCGGGCTCGATCTCGCAAGGACAAGCCTCCGCACAAAGGAACTTAGGGTTCAAGGTGTGCTGTTGATTTCGGGGGGGCTGGCAGGAAGCTCGGTGCGACGGTACGACATGCGGTAGCAGTCCTGCTGAGGCCTTCAGGGCAGAATCCTCCTTGCCGTCGCCATCATAACGGCCAGCACCAGCGCGATAGTCATTGTCATGTGCTTCACACTTACCCCATTTATCTCCTGAACCTCCCCTCGTAACACCCACAGTGGCAATTCAGTGGCCTTGTGTGCGCGAGACCATAAAGGCCGGAAGTGCTGGAGGGGCTGCGGCATCCGCCGTGGCCATCATCCGTAAGGTGGTTGTGGAATCCTTCAGCATTTGCGGGTTTCCGAGCTCATACTCGGAGCCAGGCGAAGTTCTTGATTTCCGAGGATTTCGGAGCCATCTCAATCCTACTGCACAACTGAACGAGCTGTGATGCCGGGCCTTGCTGGAACTTCCATGATTTCCGTAAGGAAGCTCATTTTAGTATTGCTATGGAAGTCCTATAGTATCTTTTGCGTATCCTATTGTTATTATTAGTATCATCACCACGATTAAAAACATCATTACTATAGTAGTTACTAAAATTGTTATCATGATTACTTTACTAGCGCTACGATTGTTGCAATGTTTTTGGTAATTCCTAGCCTTATTCGGAATTGCCACAACCTTGCTCCGAGGTTCTGTGTCGTAGAAGAGAGCTCCGACACCCCCCGCTTCCTGCACAAGGCTTTGCCCAGCAGTTTGGGCTTCGGATTCAAGGTTCAGGGGTTTCTGAGATACAAACTTGATGTGTTCTGCAAATGCTCTCCACTCTTGATGTGTTCTGGTGGTAGCAGATCCTCTCCACTCTTTTTCAAAGTCTCTGCAAGCAGAGCAAGCACGGCTCAGGCCATGACTTCGCACCGCCCCGGAGCTCGTGCGATCAAAGCTTCACGATTGTAACGAATCGCTCCCTAGTCTCTCTCTGCCCAAAAGAAAGCAAGACTAATGATGTTGCCTTCTATGTCTTCGAACCCCTGACCTGAAGAAACAGGACCCGCAACAAAAGACGCTCCAGGCCCCAGCTTCAAGAAGCCCTCCACAATGTAGGGGTTTGGATGACGACGAATAGTATGCCTTCCGGCTCCGTACCATAACTCTATTTATTGTAAGACTTCAAACTGTAAAGGTTTGAACGACGACGAAAACTATGCCTAACTCCATATCATAACTCTATTCTAGTATAGCCGAAGACACTATTCCAATTGTTACTCCCGCTCTTGCTGCTACAGTTGTTGCTGTTGGTGGTGCCGATAATGTTGTTGTTGTTGCTGTTGCTGTTGTTGCTGCTGCTGCTGCTGCTGCTGGTGTTGCTGTTGTTGGTGGTGGTGGTGGTGGTGCTGTTGCTCTGGCTCTTGCTCTTGATCTTGATCTTGCTGTTGCTGCTGCTGCTGCGGCTGCTGCTGCTGGCGGTGGCGGCGGTGTGGGTGTTGGTCTTGGTCTTGGTCTTGGGTTGGTGTTGGGGCTGGTGTTGTTGTTGTTGCTATTGCCTTTGCCATGTCTATGCCTGTTGCTATAGCTGATGCTGCTGCTGTTGCTGCAAATGTTGCTGTCGTTGTCGTTGTGACTGTCTCTGTCAAACGGCTGTTTCTATTGCTATTCCTGTTACTGCTACTGTTGGAGGTGTTGTTGTTGGATATTCTTCGCAGGCACCAAGAAGTCCTGGCCTCAATCATCTCCGTCTTCTGCTGGAAAGTGCAGCCGCCGCGAGCGACGATGACGATCTTGCCGGCCAAGGAGGATTCGTGGGGCTCACAGCCTGGCTGCTCGAGATTGTTGTTTGTTAGGGTTTAGGGCTAGGGATTAGAGCTTATCTTGCGAATTGGAAACTGGGGCTTTAGTTTGTACAGATTTAGGGTTGCGATGGTTCAGCATCGGACACTCCAGGCGAAGCGGGTGAGTTGACAGGCGGTCAAGACTCGAGATTTCCGGGTGATTCAGACTAGGCGCCAAACACCTTTTGCTTGGCTCCAGAGGGCGGGGCTTGAGTAAGGATTGAGCCACTTCAGACAAAGCCGTACCTGCATCGCTCATGCGCCTCGCACGAGCGCGGAAGGACACAAGTCGAGGGTGTTGAATTGGTGGGGCAAAAGGTGGGCACCTTGCCTTGCTCATTCGTAGTGGAAGCTGCCGCTAAGAACGCCGTGACGTTGCACTCCGGAGCCTGCGCCATGAGCGCGAGAAAGCTCTGAAGACTTCGGCTCAGATCTCAACCTTGACCTCAGAAACCCGAGCCTCAGATCGGAGATTCGAAAGTAAGTTACCCTGTCAAGCGACTGAGGAACGCTCGAGAAGGGGTCAGGGCATCTGAGCAAGAGCAGAAAAACAACCCTAAACCAAACCACAAACGGTAATGGAACACTATGAAGGCCCCTCGAATGCGGAACTAAGCCCTGAGATCTTTCCTGAGGGTCCACGATCTCGGACTCCCACTCAGCAGGAACGCTGGGCGAGACGTGGAAAGGAAGTTCACCCTCACCTGACAGGGGTTGGGGGAAAGGGAGGCGGAGAAGTTCAGGCTGTACATCCCTGAGAACTCCTTCATCAACTGCAACTACGGTGGCCATGAAGACACTGGCTGCGGATGATGATGATGATGATGATGATGACGATGATGATGATGATGATGACAAGGGCGGTGATGGCCATGTCCGATGCTGCTTGTTACTGCCACTGCTACCGGTACAGCTGCTGCTACAGTTGACTTCTGCTGCTACTGTTATTCCTACTGTCCTACTCACCCTGCTTCTCCTACCCCCACTCCTGCTCCTGCTTCGCCTCCTACAACTACAACTACCTTATTACACTGCTACTGGTCGACGACTCCTACGACTGCAGCTGCAACTGCGCGGCTGCTACTGCTCCCTCCGACACGACCCAACACCACCACCGCCACCGCCACCGCCGCCGCCACCGCCACCGCTACCGCCACCGCCACCGCCACCGCCACCACCACCACCGCCACCGCCACCGCCACCACCACCACCACCACCACCACCACCACCACCACCGCTACTGCCACTACCACCATAACCACCCCCGCGAAGAGGACGCTACCAATAATGGCAAGAATTGTGATTTAATGAACAGCCTGGTAACACCAGTGCCGATAACAACAGTTTCAAGCATTGCTGAGTTTGTTGCTGGGCAGGACCTCCTTCTGTTTTCATCTCAGCGAACGGATCGAACACCCGACCCAGCGGCAAGCTTAATACCGGAGTACCCAATGAGTGGACAAGTAATGCGGCCTCTACCTGCCGTCAAGTGACGCAGGAGCATGACGCCGCTGAAGGCATCCAACTCCATGTGTGGGGCCTCGCTTCCTTCACAATGGAGCCTCAATCTAGCAGAAAAGCTCACCTCTCGAAGCTATGGATCGCGCGCTGCCGCCACATATACTTGGAAAGCCCGAACCATACCACAATTCTGAAGCATGCCGGAGGCCTCTCGATTTGCTGCTGCTTCGCAAGTGCACTTTGAAGTGTACCAGTGTTGGTGAAGGGTAACCCAAAATCTCCCAAACGGTGAAAGCGCTGGAAGCCGGAAGTCAACAAGTCAAAGATGGGAAAGAGATTTTCTAAGCATGGAATGTGAATATATAGCGGCTCAACCTAGAACCTTAAAGCATACAACCTATCGGGGCTCAAGCCTGAAAAACCTTCAACCTGTCCTTTGGCGGCGAGCGGCGGCATCGTGAAAGCTTCACCGTGGTCCAGGGCGTCCACTGCAACCGCATCGAACCTAATGCCCGGGGCGCTTGCGCTTCTGGCAAGTCTGCTGGTTGTTTCTCTGAACTTTAGTACACAGATACTGCCAAATTGCACGGAAAAATCGGCTACTGGTGGCGGGCAGAACCTGCATGCAGTCGGAGCTTTCCCCACGGCCCCACAACTCTCTCAGGGTTTCGCGAAGCCTTTCCGAAAACCCTGAAAGGAAAACTACAAGCCCCAAACTTCCTAACCCTAAAGCCGCCAAGCTTAATCCTATTGCCTTGACTCCATGCAAGCCCCTAAAGCCCTACAAATTCATAACCCGAACCTCCCCTTAAAACGGATCCCTTTAACGCATCCCTTAAAAGGATCCCGTAAACAGGAGCCCTTAAAGGGACCCCTTGTTTGATATCTGCTCCTAGCAGCGCGGTGAGGCCCGAATTCGTCTTGAACTCCACCTCATCAAGGCGCCATTCTTCTGCGAATCCGGAATGAGGCGGGTAAGGTGGGGTTTAGGGTTTAGGGGTTTAGGGTTTAGGGTGAAGGTATAGAGATTGGGGAGAGCCAGAATCAAAAGCATCATGGGTGAGCCTTTCATGTGTGAGGCGGGCGGTCCTTTTTTTCACTTCGGGCTTGGGCGAGTGACGGCGTGCTGTTGCCGGAATGGTTTAGGTGCGGATTCCTGGTATTCAGTCTCTGCCGCGTTTGGGCTTATGTGGCCACTGCCGGCTTCGGAGCTCAGGGTTCGGAATGTCACATCGACTCACACTTCCCCCCCATCACCAAACTGACGAAACCTTCCACGACATCTGGCTACGGCTACGCAGCCCGCGACCCTACTTCCAAATTCAATCTTTGCTACCACTGGCCATTCATGGGGCCAAATTGCCAAACCCAGAAAGTTTAACGATCTTCGAGCTGCTGTGCCCGCGTAGGTGCCCGTGCTACGTGGGCGACATGTGATCACGACGTCTGCGGACTGGTGCGGCTCCACAGACACCTGCGTCGTGAGGCGGGAAATCCGAAGGGAGGCGCCAAAACAGGTAAAGAGAAATTGCTCTCGTCTTTTTCCTCATATTCGGAGTTGAAACTCGTCTATATATACTGGAACAGCATGTTTCCACGCCCAGCAACTTAATGGCTGCACGGGCAGGTCTCGAAATAAGTCCTCATGCATTCCAGGATAGATGTTGAACACAAAACGCGCCCTATATACTGGTATCGGCCTCCATACTCGGTCCTGCGAAGGGCACCGCCAGTGGCAGGACTTGTGCTCGGGCAGTGCCATTTCCGAAGTTCCAGATCCGCACCTCAAAGGGCATGGGCGTCATCTTCGTTGTGGCGCCGCTCTTGGGCGAAGGCTTTCTAGTGCCAGGAGAAGGCGCTGTAGTGAGGCACTGAAGCATAACTTTGCCATAATGTTATTATATTTTCGGCAGCGGTTAAAAATTCTGGAGCTTATTTCAAATTAGGGTTATGTCTCGCGGTGTTTATAGATGATGACGACGATGATGCTGCTGCTGGCTGTGATAATGTTGATGGTCTGGGCGGTGGTTATGACGATAGTGATGACAATTTTGATGGTGGTGGTGACGGCGAGGGTCTGAGTGTTATTGGCTCTCTAGCAGCACTGTTTCCCGTGCTGCCGCTGCTGGTGCCCCGCATCTATCCTCCTTCTTCCCTGAACTGAATGTGCTAAGACTGGTAAACACATGCCAAGGCACGGTGCGTCGACCCTCTCCTCCGACCGGGACCGTCCCGAATTGAAGCGTGCCGGCAAAGATCGTGGAAGGCAGGAAAGGCGTGCCAAGTATCTCCTTTGATTGCCGGGCAAGCAACAACCTAAAGTGGTGCTTTGAAGACCAGCATTCATCATAACAAGCACAAGAAGAACCCCGACCCATGTCTTCCCGCTGTTGTGGCCAGGCAAGGCACATACTGCACTGGCACCTTCTCGTTGCAATCCTTCTTGCCCTCTCCCCAGTCGATGTTGATCTGGGCCTGACTGGGAGGGCGTGGTTTGTGTTCCTTATTTTTTTTCCGTTTTTTTTCTCATTTTTTTTCCGTTTCCCTTGTTTGGCTAGGGGTAGGGGTAGGTAGGGGTAGGGGGCGAGGGGGTAGGGGTAGGGGTAGGGGTGGGGAGGGAAGGAAGGGGTTGGGTGCAGGGGTGGGGGGGTAGGGGTCGGGGTAGGGGTATGTGGTGTGGTAGAAGTAGTAGCAGTAGTAGTAGTAGTAGTAGTAGTAGTCGTGGTGGTGGTGGTGGTGGTGGTGGTGGTGGTGGTGGTGGCGGTAGTCCTAGTAGCAGCAGCAGCATTAGTAGAAGTAGCAGCAGAAGTAGTAGTAGTAGTAGTAGTAGTAGTAGTAGGAGAAGGAGTAGGAGAAGGAGTAGGAGTAGTAGTAGTAGTAGTAGTAGTAGTAGTAGTAGTAGTAGTAGTAGTAGTACTAGTACTAGTACTAGGAGCAGGAGCAGGAGCAGGAATAGGAGTAGGAGTAGGAGTAGGAGTAGGAGTAGGAGTAGGAGTAGGAGTAGGAGTAGGAGTAGTAGTAGTAGTAGTAGTAGTAGTAGTAGTAGTAGTAGTAGTAGTAGTAGTAGTAGTAGTCAGTAGTAGTAGTAGTAGTAGTAGTAGTAGTAGTAGTAGTAGTAGTAGTAGTAGTAGTAGTAGTAGTAGGTAGTAGTAGGTAGTAGTAGGTAGTAGTAGTTGGTAGTAGGTAGTAGTAGGTAGTAGTAGGTAGTCGTAGGTAGTCGTAGGTAGTGTAGGTAGTAGTAGGTCGTAGTAATAGTAGCATTAGTCGTATTAGGAGTAGTAGTAGTAGTAGTAGTAGTAGTAGTAGTAGTAGTAGTAGTAGTAGTAGTAGTAGTAGTAGTAGGTGTAGTAGTAGTAGGTGTAGTAGTAGTAGTAGTAGTAGTAGTAGTAGTAGTAGTAGTAGTAGTAGTAGTAGGTGTAGTAGTAGTAGGTGTAGTAGTAGTAGTAGTAGTAGTAGTAGTAGTAGTAGTAGTAGTAGTAGTAGTAGTAGTAGTAGTAGTAGTAAAAGTCGTCGTCGTGGTAATAATCATAATAACAATAATAGTGGTAGTAGTAGCAGTGGTAGTAGGTACTAGGTACTAGGTACTAGGTACTAGGTGGTAGGTAGTAGTAGTAGTAGTAGTAGTAGTAGTAGTAGTAGTAGTAGTAGTAGTAGTAGTAGTCGTAGTAGTCTAGTAGTAGTAGTAGTAGTAGTAGTAGCAGTAGTGGTAGAAGAGGCAGTAGGCAGTAGGTAGTAGGTGGTAGGTGGTAGGTGGTAGGTGGCAGGTAGTAGGTAGTAGGTACTAATAACAGGAGGCTGCAACGATTCCATCCTTCCTTCCTTTCTTGCTTGCTTACTTCTTTGCTTGCTTGCTTGCTTGCTTGCTTGCTTGCGCATTTGCTTGCTTGCTTGCTTGCTTGCCTGCTTGCACGCTTGCATGCTTGCTTGCTCGCTAGCTTGCTTTCTTGCTGGCTGGCTTGCTTGCTTGCTTGCTGGCTTGCTTGCTTTGCTTGCTTGCTTGCTGGCTTGCTTGCTTGCCACGAGGAAAACGGAAAAAAAATAAGAAAAACTACTGAAAAAAAATAAGCAAAAAATACCGCCACCTGACTGGGACAGGTCTAGATCCGCAGCATTGCACCGCCCCTTCTCTGTCTCCTATCCCCAACTTGGGTTCGGAGTTCGATCAAAATTAAACTCAACCCTTTTTACAACTGGACTCTCACGAATGCCAGCAGCCAAGACGAAGGACTGGTGCCTTTCATCTTTAACTCAACCCTCTCTCTCTCTCTCTCTCTCTCTCTCTCTCTCTCTCTCCCTTGGCACACCCAAAACCCTAAATCCCTGAACCATAGGCCCCACTGAACATTGAGCCTGGTAGACACCCACCCCCAGGAACTCATGGCCGATCTCCACCTCGGCTCGCTGCAACCCTCTTCTTCGGCATAAGAGGGGGGATTTAGGGTTTACGCTCTCACAACTCGGACAAGCCAGGCGAGGGATTTAGGGTTTAGGGTTTCGGGTTTAGTGTTTAGGGATATGTTGCAGTAAAGTGAAGATAGAATAGGGCCTGGGATTGTATATTGTAGTATAGCTGAGACTTTGTGGTATAGCTAAGATAGAGTAGGGTTTTGGGGGGTATGTTGTGGTCTAGCTAAGATAGCTTATGGTTTCGGGGGTATGTTGTAGTATAGTTAAGATAGAATAGAGGCTGGGGGGTATGTTGTAGCATAGCTTTGATAGAATGGGGTTTGGGGGTATGTCGTAGTAGGTTTATACTAGGGAACACTAGGGAATACTGGTACGATAAGATAGAATAGGTTTGGGTGGTAATCTAGGGGCCTGAATTCTTAGAACAGGCTTTGTTGGTATATTCTCCCATACTTATGATAAGGACCCCCCAAAATAGGGTTTGGAGATATATTGTGGTATAGTTACAGCAAGGAACCCTCGCCTAGAGAACGTTTGCGGAGCTTGACCGAGAAATTGACTCTTGAGGGGTTCTGCGATAAAGAAGACCAGGCGACCCCCAAGGACACGGCGCCGTTGGCCGGCACCGACACCCGAGCCAGTGTGCCCGTTGGATCTCTCCAGCCACCCAAAGGCTCCTCACAGAGCTTTCGGGGGCGCATTCGGGTGCTTTTTCGATGTTTGAGGTGTTCTGGGTTAGGGTTTCGGGTTGATCGTTCAAGGGTTTGACCTTAAGCTCCTTTCTTTCCTGCGCCCCATTAACAAAGCTCCAAACCAGAGGCCCCCGCCATAAGCCCCGAAACAGCTCAGCAAGCCCTGCTGTAAGCCCCGAAAACCCAGGCCATACACCGAAAACAGCACCCTTACCACAAGAATTGAACAGAAGACTGAAGAGGAGACCCCCACTTCCATGTCCTGGAGACGAATCCAGTTCCTGGACTCTGCCTTCGATACCATTGCCTTGGCAATTAACCGTGGCATCGTTGCTTCTTCTGAAGACAACAAATGACCAAGGCCAACAAGCATGTCAAGAGATGTAAGGATAATAGCCTGAATATACTGTAAGCCATGTATACTCAGATATAGAATTGTCCATTTTTCCATGATATACACTTTGCATACAACATGTACAGTACTCACTAATACGCTTCATATTCTACTACATTCATAATAGCTACTGCAACTCGAGCTCTTTTCAAGAACGGCCCAGTGGCCCCGACGTCCAGGAGCCCAGCAGAAACAAAGCCATCCAGCCAGGGCGCCCGCTCCTTAAAAGGAGGCACCCTTACCCTATAATGGACTATATAATGGGTATATAATAGCTATGTTAAGGGTATTTAAAGGGCTTCTGTTCAGAGCTTCGGGCTTCCTTCTTTCTCTCTAGGGTTTAGGGTGCCGTACCATCCCCAGGCATCTCCCAATGCAAGCATGCGATGGCAGGCTGGAGCCCAAGCTTAGGGCTTTGGGTTTAGGGTTTCGGGGTTTCGACTCGCACAAGTACACGAGGCAGGCACGGCTTCCCGCAAGAGGTCCGCACTACCAACCACTGAAAAGCCCGCCACAGGCAAGCATCCAAGACTACTTACCCTACCAGATACGAAACATGTAAGGACCTAACATCATGCACCGCCCAGAACGAAGTATATAACTTGCCCATCTCCTCTTTAGGTCCGTGTTCAGGCGTCGGGGCTTGGAGCAGTCGTGGGTTACGGTTGTGAAAGTTTGTAGCTTGTCCTCTGGGGATTTAAACTAAAGACGGTGGACCAGGTAGACCCGGTAGACCCGGCAGCTGGGGGTCGTATGCCCATAGCATGCACCCCCGCAAGCATCTCCATATCGCAAGGCCCGAGCACTGCTTTCGCGTCCCTCCTCATGTCTCCCGGCATCCTTATCTCATGGTTCTCCTTTCTGGGCTCTGCTGCTATCGCTTGACCACCTCTATGCTCTAGCAAACCCTCAACCCTCAAGTGGCCCTAAAGCCTTTAGTCAGACAGGGCTCGGCAGACTCCACCACGATAGACTGCAGGTCTTCCTTGGCTTCGTTCACAGCAGAAGGCTTTTGGGAGAGTCTAATTTAGGTTTCGCGATTTCGCACGTGTCTCTGAGGATTTCGTCTGTTTAGGGCTTCCGGGAAGTTCGGAGCTTAGGGTTTCAGGGTTTTGGCACTTGGACACTCCAAGTTTCTCAGAGGACGGGTGTTGAGACTTTCGGGTGTTGAAATTCCCGAACCCTTAGGCAGCTGGGGTTTAGATCTTCGGGATTTAAGAACCCTTAATCCGAAACCCATTCGGGCTTAGGCATCGCGGCTTCGGCTTTCACATCCCCGCACCTGCACAGAGATCTTCTGGTGCAATCCGAGGGTCCAAATCGCTCACGAAGCTTCGGCCCATCCAACTCCAGACGAGAGCCGTGGCTCCCGCAACCAGCGGGGTGGCCATGGACGTGCCGCTGAGGGCCATGTAGCTTCGAGACCCCAGGTGCGTGCTGAAGATGTCCGTGCCTGCTGAGCTGGACCATCACCCCTAAGCCCAAAACCCCAAGCACCCCTAAACCCTAAACACTAAACCCCGAACAGCCCCAAACCCTAAACCCGAAATCCCGAACCCCTGTAACCAAAACCATGCGCTTTCGGGGTGGCTCGACTCTCAGAGCTTGGTGAAGCGGGTCAGATTTAAGGCGCTAGATCCCAGCATCTTCACAGCATTGGAGAAATCATCGCAAAGGCTTGTGCGTGGAACAGGGGCCCACAGTGTTGGGCCTTTGGGGTGCTGTAGCACAGGCAGTATTCTTTCAAAGCTACCAAGTAACAATGAGCTGCCTTGGGTTTCAGTTGTTGGTTTAAGGGTATGGGGGCTTAGGGTCCAGATGGTCTAGAACCCTAGACTCCTAAACATGCTCCAAAGCTTCGATTCAATCAGATACTAGTGCCCAGACCCGTCCGTCCCTCTTTCAAATTTGTCAACCCACTCCTGGAGCTGCGATCTGCACCGAGTCAACGCCATAATTGCTGTAGTCGGCCAACTGGTCCGTGGGTGCTGTCGCTGCCACGCACAAGGCAGGCTCGTAGTTGCAGGGGTACGTCGGGATTAGGTCGTTACCTGAGCCAAAGGCCAGAAACGCGCATGCTTCGCAGAGGATGCAACAAAGCCAACTGATGCGGACTGACTCACTGGCTGATTGACATTGATGGAGCATGAACTTAATGCGGAGGCATCTGGGCCGAGCAGCTTCTACCCAGATTGCCTGCTGCTGCCACGAACATGTGGCCCGCTTCCTGCCATCCATGCATGTGCCTGCCTAGTCGCTTTGAGCAGGCGGCTGTGACCTGATGATTCTCTAATGATGTCAGCTGTGTAAAGCCATGGCCAACCCTGAAAATCCAATTACATATGTCGCTGAAGTCCAGGCCAAACCCCAGCCATCCGAGGAGCCTTCGCGCTCTGAACCGCCGCCTGTAGCGCAAGGCTGTGGGAAGGCCCACCTGTGGTCGGCATGGCTTCAAGTCTTCCGAGATTGCTGCTGTTACCTGAGAGCTAGCTAGTGACGACGACCATGAAAGCAACATAGAACACAGAAGAACCAACATAACGGACCAAAGCAAGAATATAGGGAAGGCTCGTACTACAAGTCTTCTTCAACTCAGGCCACTCAAAGAGAGTGCCTCCTCCGGTTAGGCAGGTTGGGTTCCGTTTCAAAACGAAGCGACTATGGTTACTCTACCTCTCGAAGTTACCTCGACCACTACCGCCTTCGCCCTGCACCACTGCTCGGGTTTAGGGTTGTGTTTGGAAGGGATGTTATAGTAGCATTGAAGTACGGAACAACCCTAATATAGCACCCTAAATACTAGGACCTACTAGGATCCCTATTACAAGGACCCCAAAATAAGGTACCCCCCTAATTTTCGGAAACTCAGATATCTCCAGAGGCCTATCCCAATCCCCAGGTCCCCCGGCCCCAGCTGTTTGAGGAGATGATGGCCCCCATGGAGATGGCATAGTTCCTTGGAGCTTTTCTGGCTTTTGGGTTTAGGGTTTAGGATGGCATAGTTCCTTGGAGCTTTTCTGGCTCTGGGTTTCGGCGCGGTTCGGAGGTCACGGTTCTAACGGAAGGAGTCATGACTGAATACCAAACTACTTCCTGCTTACCCAACAACTAAATTGACTGTGCGGCTGTAGACTCTGGGTTTAGGGCTTAGGGTGGCAGAGTTCCTTGGAGCTTTTTTCTGGCTCTGGGTTTAGGGTTTAGGGTGGCATAGTTCCTTAGAGATTTTCCGGCTCTGGGCGTGATGTTTCGTGGGTTCCGAGGCCAGCTGACGAGACAGCTGGTAGCACAAAGGCGAGAGATTTATCATTAGATCCTGGAGCCCGACGGAATAGCATTGGTAATTTCTTCCTGGCTCCTTTCTATGACTCGTCGGTGGGAAGTGGGAGGGAGCCGGGGACCCTTTGCCGCCTGAACCCAAATACACAGCAGTCTAGCAGTCTAGCACCCAAAAATCGAGGAAGAGTAGTAGGATGACGGATGTAAGAACCGCCACAAAGCAGCCATCATTCCTAAATCCTTATATTATACAACCCATAGCACGCAAAGCCGGGGCACAGCGCTAGCACTGCGTCGCTGGTGCGGCCCCCATCCCGGCTAAGGAACCTGGGCTGTCTGGTTCTTAGTTGGGAATGGGGGAATGGATTATGGAGACCAGTCGTGGAGATTGTATAGGGACTACTATAAGGATCTATTCCCACTAAAGCATCGGGCTTAATTAATATAGGGACTACTATAGGGATCTATTACCCCATTCCCTACTCAGCACCAGGCAGTAGTGGGACTGTGTCGGAGTGGTCTAAGGCTGAAGGTTTCGGCGCTCACGCTCGGACAATCCAGGCGAGGCATGCGTCTTGGGGTCGTCGGTGTAAAACGTAAAAGCTGGCACGTGCAAAAGACCCACCGAAACGTCTCGAGTTTGGGTTTTTGTTCGGTCAGAGTCTTCGAGTTTCGCGGTCCTAGCACAAGCCATGTCTTAAGACTTGAGAGTTCCAGAATTTTGGGGCTTACCTGGCTCAACATCGTCTTCATCCCGGATTGCAAAGTCGAGCACCCCTCAAGGCTCAGAGAGCTACGAGCCGAACCTTTGGGATCCCTGTTTCTGCCAGGGCGCCGCAGAGCCATGATCCGTATCGCAGGATTGCCGCCGGCAGCCCCCACCACCCCCACAGCATTTCGGACAGCGGCAATGACCCCTGCGAGGGGGAAAGAGCTCTCACGAGCGAAAAGCTGCTGGATGCTTCTGTCCGCATAAAAATTTCTTTCCATGTACTTGTCTTACTAAAGGATGTTCAAGGGCACTCATTCAAGTGGCAACAGTGCCGGACACATCTGAACAGTATCACTGCAGCTGCTTTTGCACCCATGGTTCCTGCACAGTGCGTCCCGTGGCCGTCGTCATCTGACGGGTCGCCGTCCTCATCTGCAAAGTCATAGCCGTGCACGTCATCCACAAAGCCGTTGCCATCGTCGTCCACGCCGTTGTTGGGGATCTCGCCCTCGTTCTGCCAAAGGCGACCCTGCAGGTCCTGGTGAGCAATCCGTGTATATATCGGCACCTGCTTGTGTATGCAGTCCGTATACATAAACATGCACGCATGTGCACACCAACACACACAGGCCAGTGCTTGCATGTCTACACGGACGATTGAGGCCTCCGGGAGCGGAAAACCGACCTCTCCCCCCACCAAATGGGAGTTTCCGAAAATTAGGGGTACCTATTTTGGTGTCCTTGTAATAAGGATCCTACTATTTGGGGCACTGTGTTAGGGTCCCCTATTTTTGGAAACCACTGTGGATCCTCGTGGTTCAGCTGGATCCCCGTATCGAGCACGGCGATGGTGACCGGCGCGGGTTCCACTTGCCTTTCCATCTCGCGCGGCGCTTACAGCTATTTTTCAGGTACTGGCAGCCATCCCTTGTGCAACTGGCTTGCAAGGTCACGCCAGGACAGCTGACTCGGGCCGGGCAGTCATCTCTAAACCCTAAACCCTTTTTCCCATGTCTTGATTAGTGCTCGCCCGGCCCTAAACCCCTAAACCCCAAACCCCTAAACCCCACACCCCTGAACCCTAAACCCTCAACTCTGCTTCTGAAGATGCCTGCGCGGAAGGAACAAGCAGCCTAAGCCTGGGGCCTGTGGCGGAGCTCATGATAGACAGATAGAAAACAGACATCAAGCTTGCACCGACATGGAGACGAGAATTGCGACATGATTTTTAGCCCAAACCCGCAAAATCCTATGGCATATAACCAAAGTCGCAGGGGACCCAGAGGCTGCCCTCAGCCACCGCCTTTTCCTCACCATCCCACACCCCGCTTTGTGGCTGTTGCGCCAGAGGTCTACTGGGTCTCGCATCCATGCAGTCAGCTCTTGTTGTGACCTAACCTGCCATGATGTAGGTCGCAGGGTCCACGCATAAGATGCACCGTAATTTAGAAGACAACAGAACCCATGTGATGGTCGGGTGGGGTTTTGTTGGGTAGGGTAGGGTTTAGGGGGTCCGCCACCCTAGTTTCAATCCTCAGTCGGGCTCTATCGTAAATCCTGAACCAATGGCTCCGGGGTACAGCGACTCCAAGCGGCTCCATGCCGAATCGAAGCCACTCCGGCGGAAGCCCCACTGCCTGGACCAGTGTGGGTCCGCGATCCTGAGGTCTCTTGCTGATCTTGATGCAAGTAAGATTGCGGCGATCAGTACAAATTCTTCAGTGCGTTTGCCCATCTTGTACCAGTGCCACCAACTGCTACTACCACCACCATCACCACCACAGCACCACGCCGCCTTCAACCTCGACTCCGACTCCGACTCTGCCTACTCTACTACTCCTACTCGTATCCCCTGCAATAGACCCATAACGCCTTCAATCTCGTACAGTACTATGATATACCCCTCAACACGACATGCTAGCTAGATGCCCTACAACCCGAAGCAAGAAACCTTGAAGACTTCGATCTAAAACAGAGCTTTGTGAGAAGAAGGGGTTCTCTGGCACAAGATCCTTGATGTGTCAGTGTACATGTGTATATAGACATATACATATATGTACGTATATGTAAACATGTACATGCATATGTAGGTAGGTAGATAGATAGATAGACAGATGGATGAATAAACTCATCGATCGATGGATAGATGGATAGATAGAGAGATAGATAGAAAGATAAACAGATAGAAAGATAGATAGATGAACAGATAGAAGGGTAGAGAGATAGACAGATAAACAAATAGATACATAGGTAAATAGATAGGCGGTATAGACAGTAGGTGGCTGCGTGCGCATACTTAGCTGGTTTTGGGACTCCGAAAGCTGCCTAGGAGCTGCGGGCTCTGCATCTTGAAAAGGTTGCGCTGATCGAGCTCCACGAACTCAAGATCCCCCGCGTGCTCGCCTGAGGACGTAAACGGGGTGGCCTTAAGAGTTAGGCGAGGGATTTCTTTGGGGGGAGATTTATTATGATGTGGGACTGTAATTTTGGCTCCCACTTGTCGGACTCGCTCGGATTCCGGACTGCAATGGGTAATCGTGGTAATTATCTATGTGCAATAACTGCTACGATTTTTCCCCTTAGAAGTTAGTGTTCAGGGTACGAATTAAATTAAGGTTTGGAGTTTCGAGTCTCGCACTCGCACGCGACAAAAAGGGTTTATAGAGGTTGACAGTTAAGACTGTAAGGTTGGTGGCATAACGGGCAATGAAGAGCACATGACTTGTTTGACGGCTTAGGTTTGGCGACTAGGAGAGCTGTCAACAATGACCCCGATCTAAAACACAGGCACATGCTGGCAAGAGCCAAGCCACTGATCAGGGCAATAAGTTGGCCGGACCACATTCCACTGTAGACGAGAGGCTTCACACATGGTTTAGTTTTGGCCAACCGTGTGCCTACACGCTGCTCCACTGCCCGCAACGACACCCGAACCCTGAGGCCAAGTCACTCTCCAGCTGCTTTGCTACATCTGCAGCATCTTTCGTGCAGTCCAACTGCACCATGCTGATCCCCAGGTGGCTCAGAAACAGCCATGAGCTGTTCTGAAGACCTGGCTGGTGAGCTGCAGACTCACTGACTCACGCATAAGCTGCCGCATAAGCCGAAGCGCCGGTGCACAAGCCAAAGTTCGAAGCCCTTTTGACAATGACACCTGAGTCTTACGTCGTCGCAAGCATCTGATTGTTTCTACTGTTGAGCTGTAAACTCCAATAACTTCAATCACGCGACGTTCCTATGCGGGCGTCGAGCCCTGCCAACCCTATACTGAAAACCTTGAAGCTCAGCGTACTGATCCTCCTGCATTTGAAACCACTTCTTCATCAGTTCCGACCGAAAAACCCACATCCTAAACCCCAAACGCCTCAGCGGCCCTAACGCTAGCGACCCTACAAGCAGTAAAGCCCAAACCCCGAAGCTCGGCCCAAAACCAAAACATTCTATATATATATATATATATATATATATATATATATATATATATATATATATATATATATATATATACACATATACATACATATACATATATACATATACATATACACATATACATATATATACATATACATATACATATACATATACATATACATACATATAATATGTGTATAATATACATATACATGTATCTACAAATGCATACATATATATATATATGTATATGCCCCAAATCCAAAACATTCTGTCAGGCCGCCCTCCACATGCTCCTCCAGACGCCTGGCGAGGCGCCGGGACCTGCTCACACCGGCAACTTCGGGGGGTACAGTTTAAAGTAAGTTCAATGAAGAATGCTAAGAGACGTCTCTATGTATGTATATATATATATATATATATACACATACATATACGCATATATACATACATGTGTACATATGTGTGTATATATATATATGTATATATATATATATATATTATTATATATAGAGCCCTAGTTGTACCTTTATCGTGCTGTAGTAAGGTCACACAGTTCCCTTTATAGTAGGCCCCTTGTCAAGCTTCTTCCTGGCAAGCCCCGACCTGTCGACCGAGCGGTGGTGCACCTGAGCAGATCTCGGAGTGTAGGCTTTACGGCTTCAGGGACTAAGACCCTTCTTGTACCAAAGCCCAACTCAAAGCTGGAAGCTTCATACTTCGGATGCAGTGGGACCATGCTTGGGTACGAGGGCTGTAGCTCTCGCCATCTGACTCAGCGGGGCTTAGGGGTTTTAGACAACTACAAACAAGTATGCATAAGGATATAGATATGCATATACATGTGGACGTAAACATATACGTGTATATATATATGTATGTTTACACACACCATCATCATATACGGACATACAAACATACAAACAGTTATACAGTCATACATTCATTTGCTCAGGCATACATACATACCTACATACATACATACCTACATACATACATACCTACATACATACATACATACATACATACTATATGCATATACAATGCAACCCATACATATGTGTAAGTATGTTCATATGTATGTATATATATATATATATATACATATATATATATTTGTGTATGTATGCATAAATCTGGAAGCAAACAATGAATTGTATATGTATGTGACTGTATGTGTCTAACACACTCAGTCACTCAGTTACACGCATACACACAGAGGCAAGTAGGTGGGTCGGAAGTGAGCAAAACAGCTGTTTGTTAGGCAGTTTCTGTATGATCCTTGTGGCCACTATGAAGAAATATCATCACCAGCAAACATGTTTTCATAAGCTTTGGAATTGTCACGAGTCTCTAGTACCCGTGTGTCTGTTGTGAATACAGAGCTACAAATCCGGCACAGCCAGGCACCCGTGGTCGGAGCAGCAGCTTGGTGCCGGTGCAGTTCACCTCCGAGCCAGCAGAAAACCCATTATTCTACGAAGTCGCGGTTTGCCCTTGCTGCTTCGCCCTTCTTGACAAGTACATTCGTCGGACAAGCCATCGCTTCAACGACGAACTGACGAGTGGCAGACACTGAAAGGAATGCTGCAATCAACGACAAGTTTGCAACCCTATCCGGCCACTCCAACAACACCAGCTCGCCTTCAACAATCGAGCCTAGCAATGGCACGGAATAGACACCCGGACCCGAGTTCAGCGGTAGCCACCCCTGTGAACCCGAAATTCTAACCTGCACCCCACACGCTTTCTAAGCAAAAACCTTAACAGCAAAAGCCTACTCAATAGTTTGAATATTATATAATGTCCCTTATTGAGGAAAGCCCTGTTGAACCCGCAAGCTGCTCCATGCCAGCGACCCCGTGAAACCAAATAATTAATCATCGACCTCTGTCTATGCCCCTGAATTGTAGGATCCTACAGACTGTCGAGTCCTACACAACCACTGCAAGACGGCTACCCCGTCTTCAACCAGAAAAGCGCGCAGGGGACCTCGGCAAGCCGTCGCTTCTGCGCCTGGCGCTGTCTTTTCAGCACTCACAACTAGACAAGCAGGTGAGGATCCGGGTACACATGCGTCCAGCACATTGGCCACTCCAAGCAGCATTGTACTACGGAGTCTTCCTAGACGTTTCCTAGGGCTGGTGAGATACACTAACACTGGCTTCCCAACACTTCTGAAGCAGCAATCCGACAGCCAACCACTTCTCACTAATCAATGCACTTCCGTCCCACTTCATCGCAATCTCCGAGTCCACGAACTTCTCATGCGTAACCAATGCAATGCAGCTTTCGGCATTAATGCACCACTTCCAGGACATGCATCTTGAACATAGGACTCTTTAGGCCACTCATGCTGGCGCTGTCTTTTAGGGCTTCACGCTTCGGTCTAGAGTCTGGGGAGGGTTTACGCTTGTGGGTTTGGGATTTAGTTTGGACGCTCACCTCTGAGCTGGGATTTAGTTCAGGGTTGAGCCGCTCAGTGCGTTGGGGTTATATGGTGTTCTTATGTGTTTTTGCCTCCCACATAGCTAGGACGAGCATGCATTGCAGGTAATGTTTTGTGGTGTAGAGATGAGGGTTCAGGGTTTGGGGTTGCGCTGCACGATTTTGGGGGCTGGCTGTTCGGTGTTCCACCTTGCTAGGTCGAAGGCCATTCTTGTATCTCGGGCACTGGCGGCAATGCCTGTGCAGGTTGCCTTGCAGCTAATGTCGGGGCCTTAGACAGTTATGGTGTATATTCTACTATAGTTGCTCTAACTAGTTTAGAGTTATGGTGTATATTTTACTATAGTGAGTTGAACTAGTTTAGGCCTTCGGGTGGAAAAAGCCCATGCTCGTGAGACTCATCAGTTCTCGAAGGCCAGAGTTGAAAGTGAACGCAAAGTTTCTTGGCTCTGCAGCTTGTTGCTGAGGCCCTAGAAATAATTCTTCAGCGGCTGAAGGAGTCACTGTTCTGGTTCCTGCTGTTGTCATTCATGAACAATTTGTACCTGTGCTTGGCAGTGGAAATACGAAATTGCAACCTGCACCAGTCTGGTTGAGGATACTGTTGTCATGGACAGCTTGTGCCTCTGGTTGTTAATGATTAGTGTTCGTTGCGGGGCGCGTCTTTGATTTTCATGATAACTAGCATTGAAGTCGTAGGGCCCAGGCTGGCAGCATCAGTCATAGCTCTGTTCTATTACTGTGGGCGATCAACTCGCATGCACCGTTTGAAGACAGAGGAATCCTCTTCCTCTCAACAAGTCGAAAGTAGCTTAATTTCAACTGCCTCAGTCCGAAGACCATGCAATCAGTAACACGACCAAGTCCGCCAGCCTCTGGGTTGCCATGAGTCACCACGAAGCCCTTCCTGTCCCCTTGCAGTCGTCGGCCGGAATGCCTGGGCGGAGGCTCACTGCACCAAATCCCGTGTTCTTGCAGGAGTCGCAATCACTCCAGCCGCATTCTGGAGTTCTACAGGAGTCTTCTTGCTCGCAGTCTGCTATTTCGTTGAATTCAGCCTGTCTGCGTACTCGAGGGCTGCTTGCGGAATGGAAAAAGGCTGACTACTCCATCACTCATGGTCCTAGCACTAATCGCGGGCGTTCGGGGTGGAGCGGCTATTTTCCTGCCTCCCGCGTGGCTACGAAGCTACTAGGTTCTCGACGATAGGCCTGAATCGTGAAGGGTTTGGGAGTTGATGACGGCTTGGACTTTCACTAATGCCTGCACATTCACCTAAGGATTAACTCAACGGTTGAAACCATGGGCCCGTAGTATGGGCCCTTACCCCTGGAATCCTTATGTACCTACTATATACCCTACACAGACCCTTAAGGGTCCCTAGAACTCCCTCAAAAAGGCCTAAGGGTCTATTAAGAGCCCATACTTCTAACCGAAAAAGACGCTGCCCCATTTACGATGCTTCGTCTTGCCACTTGTAGCTTGACAGTTGGTGGCTTCCTGCATTCATCCCGTTCAGCGATTGGAATAGCGATCTTCCAGGCTCTTCACAACAGAATTGATTATGCAGGGCCTGTAAGTAGTAAGAGTACCACTTGATCACATCCGTCATTAAATAATCATCCTCCCCTCAACCCTAAACTCCGCTGGGATTCATCCCCTTAGTAGCGCCAAACCTGTACTATTCATCCTCCCCTCAACCCTGACACATCCGCATTGTTCATCACCCCCTTTCTGGTGCTTAGTAGGGAATGGGGGAATGGATCCTTATAGTAGTCCCTATATAATCCCCAATAATAGTCCACAGAAACCCATTCCCCCATTCCCTACTAAGCACCAGAACCTAAACCCGAGAACCTTAAGCATCAGGGATCATCCTCCGCTGTCGGGACACCGAAGCGACACCTCGGCGGTCGCCTCCCGATTTCCGGGATTTCGCAGCTGGAGATCGGAGATGTGAACGCGGGCGAGGTCGTCCCCTGCAGCTCATATACTACTATATACATACACTATCATACACTGGTATATACTAGAATATACCTCTTACATACTATTATATACTAGATATACAATTATATACTACTATATACTATTATATACTATTATACAATAGTATATACAATTATATACTATAATATTGTAG